TCACTCAAAGTGTGGTACCTCGTTTTTAGCATAAATGCCAAATTAGGGGGAAGATAAACCTCCTTGGTTGTTATTAGGCCGAAACTATTATGTGCGTTTGAAGCCTAATTTTCCACAACGAAATTTCTTTTAGCTGCATGTTACATGTTATGTAATAGAAATGTAAAAGAGTGTCTTGAAGATTATGTTATTTCAATGAGCTGGCAGGCGCTCAGGTTCACCAATACATATGCATATGTGCATGTATTCCGTTAAAGGTTTTAGCGATGGCTACAAAAAATTGTTACAATTGATGTTATTACATTAAATGACGTCTGAACCAAGAAACCAAGCGAACTTGATCGTCATATAGAAACCAAGGATTAATAACACTTGTTTCCCGGACTGAGAAATACAGATAGACAATAACAGTCTTTCCAATAATTTCCATTTGAAGCCTGCTATAAGTTACAAAGTCAAACCAGACTTGTCGAAAACTGCATTCCTATGGTATGACCTTGTCTAAAGTTCGTGAGACACATTTTTTAGTCTGAAAACACACACATCTACTACTAGAGAACGACTGCTTTTCTTAAACAATTTTTCTATGGCCTACCCTTTGCCCCCTCTCTCTCTTAATGCCAAACTCAGTCTTTTTTTATCATAAGTGACAAGATAAAAGCCTCTCCTACACAAACTAAAGATAACTATTGAAAATGGTATCCTTTGATCTCACGCTTCCTCTTCCCAGAAAACCAAGCTCTAAATCCACCCTCGAGAAACTCTAGCTCAGTGATCGTCATTTAAGGCAGCCACAAAACTTGTTCTGACAGTTATTGTTATTGAAAAGAAACATATATTCATGCTAGTTTGATGTGCCGCAATGTGACAGTGGCCTCTCGGATTTTTTCTGTATTTTTTGTGTGCAAATGCAGCCAAACAAAGAAAATTCTATACTATCTGGCGAAGATACTGCCACATATCCATAAAGAAATAGTTCTCCTTCGAGTTTTTTCTGCAGCGCATCATTTCAAGCTCGTGATTTCCCTTGAAGCTAGTTTTAAGAATATAATCTTTGACTTTAGGTAATGTCCTAGTAAGCAGTTTATCTCTTCAAGTCGGTCGTAATACTTGAACTTGTCTAAACTTTAAAAATTGCCGAGCAATTTGGACTGAGCTAAAAGTTAATGGTCTCTGTAAGATCAACTTTGTAGTGGAACATTCTGTCTATTTTTATGATACCGAAAAATCGGCCATATCAGCAAAACTTTTCCAGGAACGAGTGATCTTATTGTATTCGTGCATAATACTTGACTGTTCTGATGTCTTAGTTTTCCTTTTCCCTTCAACTTTAACTTTCACTATCTCTGATTTTTGGGACTATGGCAAAGCATGCAACAAACTGAATCTTGGCAATCGTCAGATTTCCCACTAAAATCTGTCCAGTTCTTGTCTTTCCAGTTTTTTTTTTTCCAGTTTTTGTCTTTCCAGTTCTTGTCTGTCCTGTTTTCGTCTTTCCAGTGTTTATCTTTAAGTTCTTGTCTGTCCCGTTTTTTTCTTTCCAGTTTTTTGTCTTTCCAGTTCTTGTCTGTCCTGTTTTCGTCTTTTCCAGTGTTTATCTTTAAGTCCTTGTCTGTCCAGTTTTTTTCTTTCCGTGTTTGTCTTTTAAGTTCTTGTCTGTCCCAGTCTTTTTCTTTCCAGTTTTTCGTCTTTCCAGTTCTTGTCTTTCCAGTTCTTTGTCTTTCCAGTTTTTTTTCTTTCCAGTTTTGTCTTTCCAGTTCTTGTCGTCCTGTTTTCGTCTTTCCAGTGTTTATCTTTAAGTTTTGTCTGTCCAGTTTTTTTCTTTCCAGTTTTTTGTCTTTCCAGTTCTTGTCTGTCCTGTTTTCGTCTTTCCAGTGTTTATCTTTAAGTTCTTGTCTGTCCAGTTTTTTTCTTTCCAGTGTTTGTCTTTTAAGTTCTTGTCTGTCCAGTCTTTTTCTTTCCAGTTTTCGTCTTTCCAGTTTTTGTCTTTCCAGTTCTTGTCTGTCCAGTCTTTTTCTTTCCAGTTTTCGTCTTCCCAGTTCTTGTCTTTCCACTTCTTGTCTGTCCAGTTTTCGTCTTTCCAGTTTTTGTCTGTCCAGTTTTTGTCTTTCCAGTTTTTTTCTTTCAAGTTCTTGTCTAGCCAGTTTTTGTCAGTCCAGTTTTTGTCTGTCCAGTTCTTGTCTGTCCAGTTTTTGTATTACGGGATCCAAAACGCTGAAATCCTTATCAGAAATGTTGTCTAAGAAAATTATATTGTTAATCAGTGTCAATACTCTGTCTTCATTTTCTTATTGTTGCACTTGATTATCCCCCTTAGTTACGTTATTCGATTTGCACTTTTAGAACCATCTCAAAGACTCGAAAGCTCATTCAATTCACAATGATGGTGAAAAGAAGCCCCACTCTGTCATATTCAAAGCAATGGATGATCATGAACAGGTAAAAAGGCACTGTTCAGGGTCTCTGCGGCGCGTTTATGATTGAGAAAACATTGAGAATTGAAGTAATAGATCTATAGGTAATAGGTATAAACAATAGGTCTATTGTATAGTCCAACCAATAGGAATTTAAATGGCCATCTAAATGCGTCCGGGCATTGAGTAACCACCCGTGTAGGCATGCTCTTGCTTCTTGCTTCTCATCAAAACAAGTTGGAATTTATCGACTAGCTTTTGATTAAGAATCTTTGGAATTTTTAATTTATCATCAAAACACCGAAAATTTATTAAAAGACATTGCATTAGACACATATATTGTGTGGATGTTCGCTATTTGATTAAGCTTTTAATGGTGATAATTATAAATAACATATTCAATGTTTAATAAGGAAACAGCTCTCAGTTTATTTTGTTGTGTTTTGGTGTTTTTTGCAATTAAGAAATATCCTTTAATCATTCCCATCGTTGTAAGGAAATATTAAGTGCAGCTCAATATACTTTCTTTCGAAACCGAACAAATTTCTAAAACCATGTTAATAGTTCTTTCTTTCAAACGTCGAAACTAGGTTTTTTATTTCTATTTGCTCGTATTTGAATTTGATTTATCTAGATTATAACAGACAGGAATTTAACAGCTGTCACTAGACGACCTGTCTATCAATTTCTTATACACGGCAGATTTTTCCTCCCTTTTCTTCCCAGATATCTTTTTTATTGACATTTTCTCGGATTCTCGTGATATTGGTACAAAAGATTTCTCTATTTTTCGCTACTTTGTCTACATCTGTGCTTGCTTTCTCGTGAATTAACGCTGTCATGTGTTTGTCGTTCCTCATATAATCCCACAAAATCATAAATAACGCGCTTTTCTACAATCTGCTCATAGATATGTTTTATTTTTGCTCTAAGCCTTCTTACTATCAGTGAGAAACGGGTCTTACGTTTTTTTCGAAGGCCTTTCTTTGAATTTTTGGCATGAATCTTGAGAGGGTATACCTTATTTTTATCCCAATTAAAGAAATTTCAATAAAGCTACTTTTTTGCAAAATCGTATTTGTTGGGTTCCTAGATGGTTTTTGATAAAAAATTCAAATACATTTTCAATGTTTTTCTGGGTTTTTCCACCACAATCAAGATTAAATTAAGTCTTTTATTTTCGTTTTTAAACTGTCCCATTTATTATAATAAGTAACAGCCCCAAAAAAACTGAATAGCTTTGTGCTGTGAAATAGAAATGTAGTTAAACTTACATTTTTATTTTTAATACAAGTGTTTTTGAGGTTGCTTTAACAATGATAGTTCTTCATATATTGATCCTTCGTATTAAGAGTTAGAATCGTTTTCTAATGATGAGACTGTTAGGGTTTAGCGTGTTCTGTCTCATTCGAATGGATGATTCAGAAACTTTGTTTTGTCACAAAAAGCTTAATCCACCATTGCAGAACACCTTGCCAAACAAGATCCTAGGCAGATGCTTTTTGGTTAGTTTTAATTGATAGATTTGAGGGATGGTTGTTCGCAGCTGGTATATATACAAGCTATTAGATTGATATTGATGCTGGTATAGATTTATACTTGTATATATTGCTTAGTTTGATACTTGTATATATTGCTTCGTTTGATATATGTATATACTGCTTAATTTGATACTTGTATATATTGCTAAGGTATATATTGCTACTTATGTGGATAAAAAGGGGCCGACGATAACTTATGGTTTTATCAGCTGCAGAGTAGAAAGGCTACTGAAAGCGCTGCCCTTTATGTCTGATAATGCCGTCAAACATATGTTCACCTCACATCAAAATTTATTAATTGTAGTTATTTTTTTTATAAAATTTCTTCACCAAATTGCGCAGTTACGTCAGATTTTCTACGAATTCCGCATATAGTTGTACTTGCTTTGCAGGACCTCATTCGTGGTTTTATTTTGGCCAAGAAAAGTTTTCTATCAACTTAATCCACCATTCCTTAGTTTCACTGTCTATATAAACTTCACTAGTTTTTGCCAATTCTCAGTGGTAACCCCCTCATTCTAAACTTTATTTCTTAATGTGATTTTCAGAGGTTTAATATTGCCCGATACCCTTCTGTCTGCTTTCAAACCAACATTGTTTTAATAGAGTGAGGGTACACTATCGTTTACACTAAACAGTATCTGCTGGAAGTTCTAAAGGTAATTCTAGCAAGATGGTATTTCGATGACTTTGGTAGGAATTTTTGGTACTTCTCGTTTAGTGTTTTTGGAGTTAATGACGCTGCTCAAAGTTGTCACTTTTTTCTTATTTTGTTTGTCAAGTTTCTTTTTCGATTTCAATATGCAAATATTTTTTTAAGGAACTGTTGCATGTGTGTGCAAGAAAGTTCGATTTGCATCATGGGGAATATTTTACAGACGAACACATCAGCAAGCTGCTGAAGCTGGACAAAGAGCTTGAATGGTGTCAGTCAGAGCTGAAGGAGCTCGATATCACCTTCCTACCTACGTAAGCTGAATTTATTTACTTTATTCACACTGCAAAATTAATGACTAGAAACGCATCATAACTTCAGTACAATCGAAATTGTCGATGTAGCTGGAAGCCTCAATGTGACCGGAAATGTGGACGTGACCGGAAATGTGGACGTGACCGGAAATATGGACGTGACCGGTAGCTTTGATATCACCGGAAGCATCGATAGCACAGGAAGCGTCAATGTTTATATATCTCATTAGGATCTATTGAGCTGTGCTAGCGCAGTGAACTTTCAGTCTGAGGCTGAAGTCAAAGGAAATCGACAAAAGCCATCTGTCATCAACGATTGACCAATCAGTGAGCGGGATGACGCTCACATGATTATTGCCTGGCTAGTATTGAGTAACTAGAATACTTTTTCCCATTCATTGCCACCTAAGCATAAGGGTTCTTTTCAAAACACGTTAAACATCCATACAGTATAACCAATCTCAGACTGAAAGCGCGACTGATCAACTAAGATTCACCAACTGATGTTTTGATGATATCGAAACCCAGCGAAAAATTTTTCGATTCTAATAAATCTACCCGTCCACAGAAAATGGTCCCTCTTGTTCTTTAGGCTTCTTAATTCAGGTTTCTTGGCAACGGTCATGCAGACAGAGTACTCCTTCTTGAGTCAGACAAATACTTTTAGACAGAGCTTCGGCAATAATTTCGATAGCGAGACTTTTAATTGGGCTGGCGTGTAAACCCTTTGCACTTGCCTATTATAGCTCGCGGTTGGGATACGCAGGGCTACGGAGCTTTTTCAAATGCCCTCATTTTTTGTATATTTTCAAGAAGCATATCAATTCTGTTAGCTTGTTTACCAAGAACGTAAAGAGCCTTGCCTGTGAATTGAATTTGAAATCTTTTTTCCCTTGTGAAATCCGGAAAGACCAATCCTTAATTAATAGTCTTTGGGAAATTTGCTTATATTTTGAATCCGATTTTTTGGATTATGAATTATTAGGCCAATTTGGAACAACGTTCAAAGATGGGCTAAAATTTAATATCATTTGTTCTTTGTTATTAGATTTTGATTAGCTGCTATCTTTAGGACACCTAATAAGTTATGGCAAACTAGTTCACCTTGGTTTTTATTATATATTGTTCTTTTACCTTGTATTCTATTCATAAAGAACCATTTTGCTACGCTGATTGGTTGTTGTTCGACTGCCATATTGGTGTTAAGTTCATACGACTGCTAAGTTAACTTTAAGTTATAAAAAGCCGAAAAGCAACAGATCCACAAAGAAGAATCGCTTCAACCAACCTTAGCTTCGATTCCAGTGAAACATCTCATAGGATACCAGCATACTTTTCGTGCCAGTTTGAAAACTACTTGAAGAAAACTTCTGACGTTTGAGATATTGTTAACCAAAGATACAATTATAATACTTCTAGAAAATTAAGAAATCTTTTTTGAAGATGTTTTTTTATTGAGATGTATGGCGTTACAATTCCATAGGAGTATTATTTGGTAACGCAGTTTTTAAAATTTATTAAGCCTAGGTTCTTGGGAAAATATTTTGACATAGACTATTGAAACTTACGGCCTCATTTTGAAAAATGCTCCAGAGTTTTTGCATTAAATTTTTCACTTCTGATTCGGACTGAGGCCAAAATTTTTGTCTGTAAGTAGGTTTGTATGCTTGAACTCGTAATATCAATTTTATGACGGCATAAAAATAACAGTTTTATAACGGATTTGACACTGATAAGCTACTAGAAGTGAAAAGCTTCACCCGGAAATATTTGAGGTCAAAACCCTTATAAAATGTTCAACTTTACGTCGTCTTAAATTTTACAACACAAGCACAAACTATATGAAAAACAGAATCAGGACTAAAAGTGAGGTGGTAATTCCTAATCCGGGCTCAAAAACGTCTTACAATGAAGATGGGAATGATTTCCAAATTGATGCTGTAAATTGAATTTGTGTATTGCAACTTTGCTACTCCTAGGATAGATTGTCAGTTCTGAGAGAATTAATCACTGAAAATATCTGCTTGCTCTTTTTCACTCCTTGGTCTATTATGTTTTTACCCATCTCGCGAAAGCCTGTTTTCTAGGCTTTGCGGAATTTTTTGGTGTTGATAAATTGTCTGCATTGTTTCTCTTCTTCAAAGCACAGAATCGAAAATAAGATCTTTAAGAACAAATGTAGTCATGCCTCTTCGGTATCTTTTCAGCATATGAAAAACACGTTGCGCCTTGTCTTGTTATTCTCTTAACAATGGTTTGTTTTGAGAAAACGATTCTCGTAAACATAATTTTTGGATTTGTTTATGGTAGTAAAAAGTCGCTGTTTCCGTTAACAGCAAGATTTCATGATTTTTATACAATAAGTCGAGCTCAGATGCTCGATTTTTGCTCTACATGTTATAATTTCTATTTATTCGAATGTTTTTATGACAGAATTCTCAATTATCTGTTTACTGCGGCCTAAAGCTCTCTTGTCGAATCGCCGTATGATTTTTTAGCCAAAAAACAATAAAGCTGAATACTACCCAGCTACCTTCTGCAAAACCAATTATAGCCCAAGGCAACTTCAGGCCTATTTTTACCGAAAGCTTTGTTTCTGGAATTTTGTTTTGTAACCCTCTTTTAAGAGCTTTAACAAGCTGAGATTGAAATAGGCTCTTATATGTATATGAAAAGTTTGATGTTTCAAAATTGTTTTGCGTATGAAACCTGGATACCGTAAGTCCTCGAATTAGCTCCCTGGGGGCTGATTTATTTTTGATATTTTTGAATGGGGGCTTATTCGAGAGGGGGGGCTTATAAAATTATTGTAGACGTTAAGAAGACCTCGTTTATTTTAATAGGAATTTCTTTGTGAGCATTTAATTAATTCTTACCAAAAGTATGAATTTGTTGTGGTAATTCAATAAAACGCCATAGGCAACCTCAGATGGCAAAAATCACCAAATAGAGAGGTCAATTCGAGAATTTACAGTAGCAGTGGGGGCTTATTCGAGGGGGGGGGGCTTATTGACGATTTGTAGTTCTAGGGTGTGGGCTTATTCGAGGAGGGAGGGGCCTTTTCATTCAAATCACTAAACAAATTCCTCAGTTTATCAATATTCTAACCAATAATGCTGATATGAATTTCGAAATAAGCAATGAGATGCAAATCGGAATTGGAATGCTGAATATAACCAAGTGAGCTTTTGGATAATAATATTGTTGCCCATTTCACATTATACTTTTTTATGATTCTTTAAATGGTGCCGTGAGATGCGAGCTTAGCTGTTCGAAATAATAATTATAAGTTTTGGCCAATGCTCGTTTTTGTGTTTGAAGAGTGATCGTGATCAAGGCCACGCATATATATTCATAATTTTGATAGGGGTGTTTTGGACTAGTCTTGGTGCTGCGATTTACTCCCTCGCACAAGAGGCAAGCCTTTTCAACGTTTGTGCGTTATAAGAGCAGTTTCGTATTTGATTATGTCGGATACGTCCGGGCAGCCAATTTTCCTGAAGTTTCTAGTGGCGAACTGACGCGCCGGTTGATGGGCTCCCTGAAAATATCGCAGAAAGGAACCTCTTTTGTTGGAAAGACACCCTTTTGGGAAAGGATAGACCTTTTTACGCCAGCTTTTGAAAATCCAGGGGCCTAATGGTTTCCGGCCGATATCGAGATTGAGACCATGAGTTTGAGTTTCAGTATGGTTATTCAGTTTTAGTTAGAGCATAGCAAAAAACATTATCTTGCGAATCAGTTTCGGACAAGCTAAAGAGAGAAAGAAATGTACCAACCAAATCTCTATCTTTTCCAACACATGTCAAGTGATTATATGTTGATATTAGTTTCCAATGTAAGACCTCATTTGATAAATTAAGATTAACTCCAGTTAATTGAGGATATATTCAGGCTGTCTTTATTCGTCAAGATGATTTTGTGGATTTCTACTGAAGGCAAAGGTAGAGTTAAATAAGGTGTTGTACCTTCCTTGAGTAGACAGATGTACCAGGTTTGCAACCTAATCGTCACTTTGATTAACACTTTTCTTTTATTCGAATTGACTCAAAAGCAGCCTAAAAAATTATTACAATTTTCAAGAAAGTTTTTTCCAGCATAAAAGTCAATTCATCCTTATTTACAAAGACATAAAGCATTTGGGTTGAAACTTTAGGTTTTCACGAAAGTTATAGGGGGATGAATTTCTATGTAGTTGCTTGCGGCCTCTTTAGCAAGCACTTTGGTTGCTTAGCATTTATCCGACCCCAGCCTCAGCCCCAGGCCCAACCCCAGCCTTGAACGATAACGAACGATATATTGGTACCAACGCCAGTGTCATGCAACTTTTGTCAGTTGTACTTAGTGTCATAACGAGGTTAATAACACAGATTTTCAAATCATTTTGTCTTGATTACTGTCCGTCTCAAGTTTAAACCCTGTTCCTCCTACTTGAAACTACAATCAGGTGCTCGAGTGGTCATGGATTATCCATAGATAAGTTTCCTTAACGATGTCTAGGCCACAAGTGTTTCTGTTGACCGATAAGCACAGCTCAATGAACCTGCTTTAGCACGATTTTGTTCCAGTTGCTATTATAAACGCACTTCATTACATAGCCGGACGTCAATCAATGTCAATCATTTGCACATACGTGAAACGTTTGAACACTTAATTAGTAGACTCTAATTACAGTAGCACACAGAATCATATCCACTGTGTCAAATCTTACCTGTATGTACACAGTTTTTGCTTAAGTGATCACTTTACTGTTTTGAGAAAAAGCACACTGAGCAGGATCTCTCAGCTGATCTAGCCAAAATGAGCTGTTGTTATAGTTGATGCTCTGTGACAAAAATGGCGTCACGTAGATCTGCATTTTTGCAGATGGCTTTCCGAGACTTCTGTCCTTATAAACACGTCAACCAAAAGGATAATTGGTAAAATGTTTATACGTACCGTGGTTTGCAAAATGTGACGGCATAATCAGTGAGCAGTTAGATCATGAAATTGCTTGCGCACTCAATTCTAAGAAATGTGTTCGTTTACATGTTTTATGTATGGTTTTTGTGTATCTTATAAACAAAAATTACATCATGTTGCTCATTTTGGTTTCAGAAGTTGAATAATAAAACAGAATGCCTGTTAATCAAGTCATTTCAGGCGTTAAAAACCTCTTACCATACCCATTTTCAAATTTGTTGAAATTACAGTATTCTCTCCAATTAACGGACACTTTAGAAGGCGAGACCTCTCATTAGTAGAACAAAATTTTTCCCTGATCGTTTTCTGGTCAGGGTGTCTCATAAAAAACTTTCTAAAAAGCGGACCCTCTAATTTACGGACAATATTTTCTGCACAAAATAGCCAATTTGGCTTTTTTTCTTTCCAATTAGCGGACAGTACAAAAAAGTTAGGAGCCAGTGAACAAAAAACTGAGACGAATGAATATTTGTTCAAATATTTATTTCAGACACTTTGACACTTTGAATCTAGTTGGCTTTTTACAGCTTCGAACTTATTTACAACCCAGTTTACTAACTTTTCATCAAAGTGGTAAATTACTGGAATATCCAAACTATAGCCACTAATTACCCAGATTACACTACACCTTTTAAATATTTATTTTAAAATTTGGGACTTACATTGCAAAACTATCCAAAAGGCGGACACTTCCAATCAGCGGACACCTTGCTCTTGCCCCGACGGTGTCCGCTAATTGAAGAGAATACTGTATAATCAAATGTTGAAATTTATGTTTCGTTTTCAAGATTGATTTGCCTTAAAATCAAGTGGTTATTTTTAAGTTGCTTTCTATAATATTTCTGTGAAGCAATTTGATTTTTTAATTTATCATATTTCATTTTTTATTTCTTATTTATCTAATTTATCCTAATTTATCAATCATAGGTATCCACATAACGAAGATCCAAAAACCGATGCTGTTTATTCAGACACAAGGTAAACATTTCCACCGTCTGTTTAACTTTATGCAACCGAATTCACATGTTCTGATGCTGACCCAGTTGGTATAAAGTCGATACACACATTTCACCGTGATTTTTTTGCTCCGTATCTAAGTCATATTGAGGTCGAATTATACTGCCTTTCTTGTCAGGGGTTCAGTGCCTGGGGCAGGGAGCTATAGTAACAATCCCCTAGGAAACCAAATTTGTCAGAAAATTTCGGATACTCAGCTGCTTAGTTGGAGTTTTCAGAACAATATTGCATTTTACAAATGGCTTTGAAATAAGCAAACTTAGCTTCTTCGAAGCCATTTTTAAATTTTTACCGCAAAAAATTGTTTGCAAATATTGCCTTTAGCCTCCCAAAAAAAATTCAACTTTCACTGCGCCCCTTTAACTTATTATGTAAAAACCTGAACGTTGTGTTTCTTGAAACTTTTTTCCTAAAAATTATTTTAATTGTTTAAAGTGTTGAATCTCGGCCTTTTGCGTTGTCTACAAGGCCCTAAATTCAGAAGGGCTGGATTGTTATTGAAGAAAGCCGAAAGCCTTTCAAATGAATATCCAGTATTAGCAAAATCCAGATAAAGAGGCAACTTTTGGTTACACTAAGCCCGGCTTAAATCTTGTTGTTTGCAAACTATTTGGGTGGAAATTCTCTCACTTATCTCCATTCATCAATTTTTGGTTTGATTTCCCGAATTATTCATCCTATCTTAACAATTAGTGGTTCATTTGGCGCCCGTGCGGTTGTGTCTCTCTTTTTTGTTCTCATGTGAAAGTTATTCTGCTTTGCTGGTTGCGTGTTTTAAAGCCATTTTCGTCTTCTTGCATTCTGTCGCTTTGTTACTCTTTTCACATTTAAACCATTTTCTAACCTACCTATTTCACCTGGCTTTGAAGTGTTCGCTTAACCTAAAAAAATTCTAAAATGCTTTTAGGGCTCCATTATTCTGAAATAGAAGAACAAGTTTTTGTATGGATTAGAGTACATTTTGAAAATTATTGGGGGCTGTGCCCCCTCAGCTTTCGCAGTCTCTAGCTTTACCTAACTTCGCAGTGCCACTGGTGATAGTTTTCCTCGTTATTTCTAGGTGCCCTGCTTGGTGTGATCGGGTCCTGTTTGATGAAAAAACCCAGAAGGAACTAACAAAGGTAGGTAAACACTTGTTGTAATTGATATTTGACAAGTTCGTTGCTAGGCCACGTTTGTAAGGAGGAATTTACACTACATACACAGGCACCGCGGAGCGTTGAGAAAAGTGGGGGGTCTAAAAAAAGTGGGGGGGCTAAAACTATTTAAAAAGAGACTTTTCTGGTAGTTTGATACTTAATATTTGCCATTTTTTGCAAAAAGTGGGGGGGGCTAAAGCCCCCCCAGCCCCCCTGCTCCGCGTCGCCTTAATGTTTCCATCAATACAAAATCCTTGATAGATACTTTTAGGGACAAAACACGTAACATAAGTCATAAAGCGACATGATATAAAGTTGCAAAGAATTATAATTATAAATATAATATGATATGGTTTGAGTAAGGAGGCCATTGGCCTATTAAACCCTTCAGTAAACTCTTTCTAATATTGAAAAGGAAATTGGCGCCTAATCGTCGAGAACAACAATTTCAACGTCATCGTTAAAAGATGGATTTTCGTTCCTTAAGGTTGAGGATGATCAGAACTATGGTTTCTTGATCATCTTGGGCCTTGGCTTCTAATGAATAAATAAGCGTGAGCTCAATACAGTGGAGCCACCATTTAACGGACACTGTTCGGACAAGTGTGAATATCCGTTGTATAGAGGTGTCCATTGTATAGAGATGTCCGCTGTATAGAGTTGTCCGTTGAATAGAGGTATTCGTTGTACAGAGCTCCCTTTAAGAGCGTTTAGGACAGAAATATATCTCCGTTGTTGAGAGGTGTTCGTTGTATTGTGATATCCGTAAAATAGAGACACCCGTTAATAAAGGTTCATTTACAAGCGGAACCTTTTCAATACAAATACAACACGAAAATTTTTTTCCCATGAAAACGGACTAGTTTGAATGGGGCCTAAGTTTTTCACTTGCCCTGTACGCTTTTCAGGTTGTTGGTAACCTTGAATAGAAATCAAGGTACACTACGCCTAAATAACTTTTAATGTTACTTTAAATTGGATTTTCGTCCGTCTCATCAGATCTGACGTGCGGTTCTCCAGATTTACATCATAATTATTCATTTGACTGATTATTATCTTTTGCGGATAGCAAAGACCTTTATCCATTGTGCATTAGATACAATCATTGCGTCCTTGAACTGTTCCCGGGAACCGGTAATTCTATTTGCCACGTGGTGCAGAACTTTGGTGCCATGAAAGAAATTTTGGGTTTTTGTAAGGGTAAACAGTGATGATTAGAATTAACGATTATTCCATATTTCAGTTCCGGAAGATTCATCATCAGCTTCGCCTTTTTATTTTGGCCTTTTTTATGAAAATTTAGGGAAATTTAGGATCTTGCTGTGAGAAATGTTTCAAAAAGTCTTGGTGGAAGTCTGAGGCTTTTAATTCCCTCAACTCTAATAATCTTTAAGTCGATAGGACCTTTGGTTGTTTCGGTATTTATTTGGAAATAATGAGTATATACAGATTTTGTAAATATTGGCGCAATAGTCCTCACAGTTTTTTTAAAATATTTTTTGTTTCCAACAAAAGTTCACAATACAAATTTTCTAGTTATGCTTTGTACAAAATTAGCTCGTGCCTAACAAGATTACAGCGAAAATACCTATGCCTATTCTTGGCACTGTACAAATTTAAACGATCTGCACACGAATTATCAAGGAAAAGAAAAATTACATTAGGGCTACGTAAAAAGAGTGAGACTAAGACTTTTGATTCATATCGACTAATACTATATAGAAACATATTGTTTATTCAACATTTCTGTATTCAGCTAATATGGAAAGATCTTTTCACCGTACAATTTGTAACAGAAATATGCTGTTAGCAATGTTTGCGTGTCTATAAGGTCCCGCAGAGTCTTACTTCTAGCAAGGAAACCAGTCCTACCATCACTTTTTACCCTTACAAGAACCCAAAGTTTCTTTCATGGCACTAAAGTTCTGCACCACGTGGCAAATGCTGTAGCAATGATTGCATGCCCATAAGGTCGCACTAGGATCTTATTTCTAGCAAGGATACTAGTCCTATCATCACTTTTTACCCTTACAAAAACCCAAAAGTTCTTTCATGGCACCAAAGTTCTGCACCACGTGGCAAATGCTGTTAGCAATGATTGCATGCCCATAAGGCCGCACTAGAGTCTTACTTCTAGCAAGGGTACCAGTCCTTTGAACGCTGAATTGTTCTAACACTGGTAACTTGGTTTTCTAAGTTTAATTTCCAGGTGTATATTAGCAGTCTCTGTATTTGTTTTGCATATTTCAGCATCCGCATTTAGAACTTGCTGATTAACCCACAGGCTCAATTTGTTTAATTAGTCAGCCCCTCCTCATCTAATGAGTACCAATTCAACCTGAGTATGTGAAAAGGTTCTTTTTTGCAAATCAATTAAAAAACAAACCATCAAACATAAAATTCTCTTATGATTCAAAGTCAGAAAACAATCAAAATTGAAACCTGAATCTTCTATGCATTGTTCATGTTAAGATTTTTTAAAAAAATGTTAAATTTTTTTATCGAATATATTCTTATTTGAAGATCAAAGAATATATATCAACATTATTCTTTTCAGGCAATAAGAACAGAAAAGCCTCATTTTTCACTCAGCACCTCCCCCCCCCCCCTCGCCTTCAGGGCCTGAATTTCGATCTGAATAAGAACCTGTCCAGATCGAAAGGCAAGATTGTAGGTTGAAATGCGAATGTGTGACCGTGTGCAATATGGTCTCCAGGAAGTGAACCTGCCAGTTGTGCTGATGTTTCCCTGTATCATTTTTCTAGGAATCGTTATCAGTGCGGTATGACTGTATTGGGCAAGAGGTTTGCATCGGCGATCACAAGGTAAACACATCACTCACTGATATTTCTTTTTTCACAGTTCACTCAATTGGTATATTTTTGCTTCCATCTTTAGGATTTCAGGAACCAAATTTGTTTAATAATTTTTTACAACCTCCAAAGTATTAAGTGTTCAAAAGTTTAACTATATTCCTTGGCAAATATATGGACAAAACTGACAAAATATTTAGGACGTCGCCAGAGATCTTGTAGGTAAATTCTTTTAAATTATTCTGAAGTTTCAGCGGTACTATAAAAGGTACAAGTACCATCTCAAAACTATGAAGTATTATATATCAAGCTAAACCCTACAGTTAACATGTTCTACAATTTGAAATATAACATAAAATAGATTGGCATAACGTTATGTAACATAACAAAAAATAACATAACACAATATGATATAACATAACATAGCGTGAGGTAGCGTAACGTTACATAACACAACAAAACATAACATAACATAACATAACATAACATAACATAACATAACATAACATAACATAACATAACATAACATAACATAACATAACATAACATAACATAACATAACATAACATAACATAACATAACATGAACTACTCTTGACAAAAACTTATTTACAAAGCCAACGTGACTTGATATCATAAGAACCTTTTAGCATAGCTTTAACTCAAAGTAACCTTTTCTTTCTTACTAGTCGTCACTTCTTTCTTTTTGATCTGTTCATTTGTACGTCTCCTTTTGCATCGTATTTAAATCATACTTTTAACCTACTTTGTTCCCATCATGACTGTTTTCGTGTCGTTCTAGCCTGTTTATCTGTCTTTTATTCTTCAACCTCAACAAGTGAATTCAGCAACTGATGCTGGCGACGGGAACTGATTTCATGGCAAAGAAGCTAAGTTGCTTAAAACTCATTTTAAAGCCTTTTAAACATATATGCCTATCATGAACGTGTTATCTTAGATCTTGTATTTATAAAATGATCGTTTAATTTAAGTGTTAGAAATAGTAGTAGTAGTAGGTTATGTAAGTATCAAATCAATAACAGTCCTGCATTTTTCAACTAGTTGGAAAAAAGAACGTGTTGACTAGAATATTTCACTTGCTGATTATTGACATTAGTTTATTTGCCTAAGAGAAGGCAGTTGGGGCCCATTTTCAAGGCAGTATTCTTTCTGCTTTAGGGTAGTAGTCTCTCTATATTCCCCTTTTTAAACAGAATGTTCAGAATTCATACCTCTTTAGGCCTCTCAAAGGTATAGATGCAGTCAGGAGTCACCAGCTCGCTCGATAGGGAGTTCAAGCAATAGAAAATATTAGGAACAAAGAAAACGAATTGAAAAAAATAAAAACGATAGAAATCGTGACATCACAAAATGCATGATGATGGCGTGATTGAAATTAGTGGACCTGATTTTCGTCATTTCGAATCAGGTGGACTTCAAAGCGTCCATTCTGTTTTTGATCCCTTTTTTGACTGTAAGTACTCTAGATTTGCATGGGTCATGTTTAAACCATAGTTGGTTAAGGTAATTACCGAAAAGTGGCTTTTGTAGCATCCCTTCCTATCACGTTTCTGTCAAACGTCTCGTGTCTCAATGAGGGTTGTGTAGCAGATTTGTGGATGAAAGCCTACAGATTGAGACCTTATTCGCCCGAATCTTTTCCTGTTTGAGAAGGATAAACATTAGTGGTGGTCCTTAAACTGTTTTGATTTCAAGTCAGGATATCCTCATTAGCATTTTATCAAATTTATGTGCCACGTACAGTTGTAGCTTTTTGTCTTAATTAATTGATTTACCGAAAAAGAAAAATACTTGCATTGTGTCAGAGAGTTATGAGAAAATGGGGAAGCCGTTAAACGAACTTTGCCTTGACTAAGAACGAAAGGCTTCTTGTATCGACTATTAGTTCTTGTGGATGTGCAACTCCTAAGGGTAAAGACATCATACTATGACGTCATTGCAAGCAGGATATCACTGCTTTTCCCAAAGCGTTGGATGACGTCCATCATTCAATTTTTCTCTTTATATCGCTGTTCTTTGTTAACAATAGGGCTAGTCCCGTGATAAACACCTAAGCTGAGCACGGAGAAACTAGAAAGCACATACATCTTGCAATATAATCAAAGTACTATTAAAATGGCTATTGGCATTTTGTTATTGAGAGCACATGTGGCCCGGTTCGAGTGCAAATTAATTAGCTTCAAGTAATAAACACACAAAACACGACATAGTTTTTAAACGCAAACCTTTATAAAAAGATTTCATGCCTATGCATGAGAGACCTATTTCATGCCAAAATGTCTCCCAGAAATCCCCATTTTAAAGACATCTACACCCAGCAATCTTTTAGAACTGCCGTAAATCCTCGAATAAGCCCCCGGGGGCTTATTTGTAAGAATCAATTTTTGGATGGGGGCTTATTCAAGGGGGGGGGGTCTTATTTCAAAGTTAAACATTTTCCTCAAATGTCGACATAAAAACGTCATAATTTTATCAATGAAATAAATTGAAAAATTACAAAAAGTGTGAAAATCTAACAAATATTATAATTTTTTTTATCATCACAAAGGTCGCTTTTTTGCTCTTTGTTCTCCAGTCAAAGGAAGTTATACTGTATAGCTATTGTCCTGTGGGGGGCTTTCTTGGAATCAGATATTATTCTGCAACTATGCTTCCCTCGAATAAGCCCCCATTGGAGGGGGTGCTTATTTGCAAAAATGATGTTTTAGGTGGGGGCTTATTCGAAGGGGGGGGGGCTTATTCGAGGATTTACGGTATTTTAAAAACATTTTTGAGAATGATTCAAGCATATGAACAAAATAATTTTAATTTTCATGGGTTTTATTTTAGCATTATGTATTTTTTGTTTGCTTGATTTTTTAATCTCTTTATAAACTTAAGCATTGGACCATGGCTGGACCAAGATCTCAATTATATTTATCTATGATGTATAATAAGTATTCTTTCTTTGAAAACGGTTATAAATTACTGGGACTGAAAATTATTTCTTTTTTACTAGTGTGGTTAGCATTATGAGCAAAAATCTTAACAATTTTATCGATGTACCCTTCTTAAACAGTTTAGTATAAATTATTAGTGTAAGCATGTACAACTATTCACAGGTAGTCCAGTTACACCTAAATTCTGTGATGCTCTTTCTCATTTTAGTCTGCAAATAAACACACTAAAATATGTACTACAGCTTCAGCACTGCGTGATATATTTGTCTGCTTTACGTTGCCATTATCCCAAAAAACTCAAAATGCTTTAAACACCCTATAAATTTGCTTTGATATAAATGTAATAATTTGGCCAGCTATTACTTTTCTCATTTATTTTCTTTCAAAACGACCGAATCGTCTGAAAAAGTCAGGATGTTCTGCTCTGCTGTTGGCAACTTCTAGAAGCCACAATCAAGACCACACCCATGATCACATCCTAGTAACCGGATCTAAAACTTCAATAGAAATTGATCACTTCTGGAATACCAAATGAAGAGTTGGTTCGCTTTGCCAAGAAAGGAATTCCTCCAACCAAACATATACTGGCTTGTTAAGGGGGTTGAGTTCCCCCCCCCCGCGCTCAAAATCATATAAAATCTACTGGTGTGGGGTTTAGTAGCCACAGGAGGAGACCAAAGATGCAACGTAACCATCGGGCGTTCTCCCAATTCATCCGACCAGTCGTTTTGCCGCTCGGCCTAGCATTACATATATGCACACGTTGAAAGTGGAGTGACACCCCCCCCCCCCTTTACTTTAAATAGGTACTTTACCTCTTTTTCTCAAAGTAGGGGCACTTGCTCCCTGAACCCCCGGCTCTTCTGCATGTATATACACAGGATTGAAAATCTTTGAATAGAAGCAGGGGGCACTACAAGAACATTCTCCGAAAATGTTTGCAAAAAATAATCGAAAACTACTACTTCCCGGCATTAGCAAGAGGTTCCAGACCCCATAAGCCCCCTATTTTACAGCTTAACAACCACAGCAGCCCTCAGAACACTACTAGTTATTGTCTATGTGGATGTTTAACGTTACCAAATTTAACAGTTGACTCTCAATACTCTTTGATAAAAACATTTTAAGCAAATCAAATTTCAAAGAACTTTTTGATAAGAAAACCTTCAGCCGAAGGTCACCCTTTTTGACGAATCCAAAGCATAACTGATTTAATTGTTTGTAAAATTCCTTCATTTTGCAAAACTGAATAATATCAATAACCAACTCGAATTTCTTTGCACCTCTCCAATTATTGATTGCTTTTCTCAAACAAGGCTCGAGTTTCATTGATAATAATTCTTAACAATGAACAATGAACTATCGGCAACTTAAAGAAACAAGAAATTGAGCCGAAGAAAAATCATGTTTAGATAAAGAGTTTCGAGTGAGCTTTAAGGGTATGATTAATAAATCTGGAGGTCTAAAAGTTTTAGAACTTCAATGGTGAATCAGATGAAACTGTTATTTGAAATACCTTTAAATATCAGAGCTATGGTGTGAAATTGTACTTCTTTTCTTTTCTTTAACCCGGAAGGAAAATCTAAAAAATTATTTGACATATAAATTTCGTTTCTCTTTCGATATCTCCGTAAATGACGCTCTAAGCGTGTCGGCGACGGCCCGTTGATGTCGGGAATAGTGTATGTTAAAACTTTTGCGATGTAACCTCTCTTTTACATACACAAAGAAGCGCTAAATGCAGCGCTATTTACAGTAAAGCCCTAGTTTTTGTCTTGTTAGTCTCGTTTTCAATACAAAGTTGTGATCCTCGTTATCACAAGCCTGTTTCAGTGAGTGAAATGGTTTTATGGCAGGTGAACTACGTAAATAGTTTTATTTTCCAATAAGTCTGAATACAAGGCCGCCGCGACGTCGGAGATTCTATGAGTGGCTGGAAAATGGAATGCAAGAGCCTTTGGGCTTTTGATAATATTTTGTTTATGGGCCTTTATGAAAAGTTTGTAGGGTTTTCTATTTTAGCCGTCTAAGTAACTGAAATGAATTCAATGCCAAACGGTGCTTTTGCAAGATAGACTGTTGTAAATTAAGAGTGTTGGCTGTTCATCTAGTCGAATTTCGAGCTTCAATATTCGTATAAACTGTATTTTTATAAAAAGTGGGTCATTAGTAAGCCGAGAATATATAACAAAATTTTAAAACAGAGATATGATTTGACACTGATGCGAAATCGTTGACAAGGTAAACAATGGGCATGGTAAAAATTGTAGACAGTGCCCTAGTCCGCAAATTTTGCCACATGAGCGCAGGCTATGAAAATTGCTTCTCTTCTAAACAACAATTAATACTTCACTTCACTGAAATGTTTATGACAACTTTGCGCTTTGAGTAATACTAATGTAATGATACTTAATGGAACAACACAGGAAAAGAGCAATATATTGAGACGGAAACGTACTGAAACGCTTTTTCACACTCCCTAGAGAAACTCAAAGTGATAACGAAATCGTGACAGAATTCATAACTCGCGCACTTCAACAGCGAAGAGACAGGAAGGGTCGATTGGCAATTGTACCAATAAAAAATAACTAAAAGTTGAATGCAATTGCAGTGCAAGAACGTTATGCGCCATCGCTATATACTCGCAGATCCAGTTTACCTGCCCGGTCTTATGTTGCATGTGCGAGACAGGTGTACCTACCGGGCTCCTTCAAAAAGCCCCTTGGCCGCCAGCCGTTGTAGCGTGACTTTGAAAGTCACAAAACGACAAAACAGATCGTAAACAGAGATGAGTTTTGCAAGAAGGTGAACATCGCGTTTCCTGGTCAACTTTTTTTTCGTGGGAACTTGGGAGAAACATTGACAATGTCGGGCTTGCTGTCTCGAAGGAAAAGCTCGACAAATGCTCGAGAGCTCATGGCGTCATCCTCGTCCATAAAAATTGTTCTGCTCGGCAAAAAGGGTGTTGGAAAATCTGGTGAGGTTTTGTTATTGCTACTTATTTAAAATTAACTCTTGTTAATAATCCCATTTGCTTTATATTCCAATTAGATGTGCATTAAACCTTATTAAAAAGAGCATCAGTTTGATTTTGTTATAAAAGCGGCCTAGGTTCGCTAAACCAACATCGAGACGATCAAGAATTCTTTGAAATCTGCAAGCCACGAGAGCAACAACGTGGAGTGGATTGTTTCATGTCCAGCCCCGGAACATTCAATATTCTAACGGGATTTGGTTTGCGCTCTCCTAAAACCGTTCTTTCTTTTTCAAACAAAATGAATTTAATACTTTTACTGAGCTTTGAATTATAGAAATTAAGCAAACAACTCTTTAGACCTTTCAACACTGCAGATTTCGTAGGAGTTCTCTTTCCCCCAGCTCTTTTTGTTGTGTTGCAGCATCGATCTGTGAAAATTTACCTAAAATTCTCATGCGAATATAAAAACATTGTCACGTAATATGCATTTAAATTCATGTCAATCGCGTTTAATGTATTTGAGTCAACATGTCAAATAAAAAACCTGCGAAATGTCAATAATAGCATCTCCTTTATGTCAATTGTGTAGATAGAAAGTGATAGAGAATCTGAAGCATTTTTCCTTGAATTGGGACCTTTCAGAAAAATAGAAAACTGTCTAAAAATAGAAAATTGATAGCGACATGTTTAATAAATTGATATTGAACTCCTCGCAAATCCGACATGTGAAAATGCTTTTTCAGAGACCAATCTTTCGTTTATTGAGTTATTGCTTTCCAATAGTTCAACCCTGGGCTTATCTTTAAGTTTGAGCTGTGCTCACAAACCCTCGTTCTTTCTGGAGCCACCACAGTTTTTACGTACTTTCACCTAAAGGGCACACGATTTCGTGGACTATTGATGCAGAAAAGCGCAAGAAAAACAAAACATGTGCATCATATCAATCTCTGTTGATTGTAAATACCACAAAGGGTGAATTCTAAAGAATAAATTGGATTAAAACTACTATTGGGAGCGTCGATTTGAGAATGAATTTTCATGAGAAATCAGACATTGAGAGGAAGGTTCACTGGCTACTGTCAAGGTTTCAGAAGATTTCTATGGCTTAAGTTTCTAATGAACTGGGATTGTGTTGCTTGACGTGGGACTTTCAAATCCTTTGATGATCCTGTGCTGATCTCAGTAAAAAGCCCCGTCATTTGCATCACAAACAGTCAAACTTTCAGGTGCCGTTCCTTGTAAAAACGGTGTCTGTCTGCCACTAGACGCTTCACTGCCCCTTTTCTCCATTGCATGATGGAATGTGTGATGAAAAGTGGTCTTATCTCTGTTATTTCCATTCAAAACTGTTAGTTCCACTCTTACAAACATAATATTTAAATTTCGTCTCCCTACCTGGGAGGAGAAAACGAAAGTCCTCGACCCTAGTGGCCCTATCACAGGGCCTCCGCCGGCAAGGAGCTAGGTGGGGCTTGCTCCATTGATCCCACTTTTTTGCTAAACAAAAAGCTTTTGTAAAGCCTTTTTTCAAGAGTCTTTGATTTGCCCTTCCCCCTCTCAATTTCCTACTATACTGCTAGACAAAATTATAGTAAAAATACAGGTGTAATGTTGTGAAGCCATTCCTCGTCATCCACACCATTTTATTCCCAGATGGCTGCCGATCTATCGAAAATATATCAAACAACAGGTTTCACAACAGCAACAGCAACAACGACAACCATTCTAATGACACGAATATACTAGTGGACGTACGACGTGTTTACAGTTAGCTCATAGCACACAGGCTTATAGACGATAGTAACGGAGAAGCTACCCTGAATATGTAACCTTGAAAATTTTGCTAATCGAACCTCTACATTGGCAAACACATCGCAGTGGTTGTGCAAACGTCACGATATCTACTTGTCAGT